CGGAGCCAAGCTCGGCATGGGAGACCGCGAGGGCCAGGGGCCGAATCCCCGGCGAGGCGCGCCGCCTTCTCAAGTGCTTGCGCGCCGGGGAGCGATGGTTCTGCTCGCTGGCGCCGGGGGGAGACAGAGTCGAGGTAGTCGGTGAGACGCCCCTCGTCCACGTGCGTCTCGTCCAGTGGCGCATGGCGGCCTGGTGCATGGCGGCAGGGTCTGTCCCTACGTTGGACGAGTTGCCAACGGTGGTCTTGATGCCAGTCAGCGCGAGGCGCTTGAAAAACGGTTTCCAGAATTCGCCGCGGTATCTTTCACGCTTGGTGCGCCGGCGCCACTTCCGGCCGAGGGCAACGTTGTTGGCGGCAGTTGCAGCTCGTGAGCGGGCCGCTGAGGCTGGCGCGTGCGGCGTCAGCAGTCGAGGTGAACAATGCCAAGTCGTCGATGCTGACCGCGTTGCCGTCGATCTGCAGGTGAAGGCGCCCGATCTCGGCGCTCTCGATCAGCGTCTTCGCGAGAGGGACATCCTGGCACCAGACTGCACGGGCGATGCTGCGCAACCCCATGGCGCGGATCTCCTTGGAGACGCTCGCAGTCTGGGACTTCAGCTCCGCAGCAGGAATCTTGGTGAGCGCGTCGCGTGCGCGGGCGGCTGCGACTTGCGTCGCGGCCTTGCTTGAGCGCGCGCCATCTAGCAATCGCAGCGAGCGGCGCCATGCCGATGGTGGCGAGGATCTTCCCGACGTGATGCTGGTAGTGGTCCGCGTCGAAGATGTAGGCGGGGATGCCGCGCTCGGTGGATGGCTCGGGCTTGCGGAGGCGAATGTGGAGGCGCATGATCTTGCGGTCGCTAATCGGGCCCCTGGCGTTCTCGATGGGGGGCGTCGTCGGCGACGTATATGGCCCCCATGAAAGGCATGGGCTGGCTCGGAACGTCGATGGAGCAGCGGTCGACCGTTGACTCACTCATGTTGCCCGCAGCTCTCTGCGTCGTAGTCGCGGAGGTGATCTCGATCATGTCACGAAACAGCGAGCGCCAAAATACAGGCTACCACTGGTATCTCTGCGCAGCGGCGGCGTCGGAGTCGATGGGGGCAGTGAGTGACTTCGGGGGGAACTCGGACACATTGAAGCCACCCGCGACCATGAAGAGGCGATGTTGAGGCTGTTCGTCAGCACGCTGTCGATGTGCTTGCCATTGGTCGCGAAGGTGGAAACGGTCGGCCGGCGAGAGGCCGTAGTTGTGGACGTTGGGGATGGCGACTTCGCACTGGAGGCTGGCATCCGCGGCGCGCAGCCAGGCGGCGCGGCCCTGGATGGCGATCTCGAACCTGGTATGAGGCCGTCGTTCAGGCGGTAGCTGACGTTCCCTCTCGTCGTACGGGGCGAGGAAGCCGATGCCGCCAGCGTTTGTGGCGGGCGCATTGTTGGCGATCACGGGCGGGTAGAACGATTTGCACGAGCGCTGGGTCGAATTGGCCAGGAGAGCGAGGTCGTCGAGGGATCCGCGCGTTTCTTGAACAGCGAGAAGAGCACGCTGGCGCAGGTCAGGTAGAAGAATGCGACGTTTGTCTTCGCGGCATTGGTCAGATTGCCCCAGGAGGGCTCGGGGTGTTCCAGGAGGCAACGTTGAGGCCATCCTGAGAAGGATGCAAGAGCCATGGGCTCCAGCGGTGGCTAAAGCCACTGCGCTGCAGTGAGGGCGTCCGCGAAGTTGGAGGCGAACTCGGCGTTGATCTGTCGCTGCTTGTCTCCGGTGAAGCCGCGGTCCGTGGCAGCATTGGACCGCCGAATCCTGGTGGGTCGTCAGCAAGGGCGCCAATGAGCAATCGAACCAGAGCGCCCCAACGATTAGCAACGCAGCCGAGAATCCTGTGCGCGCGGAGGTCGGCGTCGGGGGTGGCGCTCTGCATGAGTTTGGCGACGCGTTTGACTTGAACTTCTGCGCGGGCGGCTTTCGGGCTTTTGTCCGCTGAAACATATAGAGGGACATGGGCCCCATTGCCCAGAGCGATAGTAAAACTGCGACATTCTTCTCCGTTGCGAGGAGCACCGTGAAGACGCTCAGCACGAGGTTCTGCCACGACGGCGCCGCCGCTGACCTAGAACGAGTGACGCTTGGCGGGGCCGACGGTGTTGAAGATGACCATGTATTTGGTGACTTCGGCTTTGGCAAACCTATCTGCGAGGGCGCGCTCAAGCTCGGGCTGGTTGAACTCCTGTGGACTGCTGCACCGAAACGTCGTGGGGTCGGGGCCCCTGTCCCGCGTGCCAAGGCCCTCGAGGTTGAGCGCGGGTGCCCGTGCTTCTGCGGCTGTGACGATGGATTCAAGCTTGCCGACGGCGGTTCTGAATTCGACGTTGTGTTTCTCGAGGTCGTTGGTGCGCTGCGTGACGCTGTGAATCCTGCGTCCGGTGGCTTCATGACGTTGGCTCAGCTCGGACGTGATCTTGGTGATGGAGGCGAGGAAGTCTTGGCTGGCCTGTGCTGTGACAGCACGTGCTGCGGCTTCGAACTTCGCGCTGGCGTCGGCGATTTGGGCGGCCATGGTCTCCTCCAGCTGCTTGCACACGTGAGCGGGTAGGTCATGCACCGCGAGCTTCGCTGCACCGTCATGCCATGGATCTTGTTGACGTTTGCCACAGTCGAGGTCCTGCCCGTGGGGAAGGAGAGCGAGTGGTCCTGCTGCTTGGGAAAGGGCGTGCGTTCCCATGGAGATACACACCGGCCCGCGTCAACCACATAATATCGCGCGTGAAGGCTGCTGCAGGCGAGTGCAGAGCCGAATGCGAAACTCAACCAGCAGGGCATCTGGAAGGCGTGGCGTGGGAAATGGGTCCTTAGCTGTCCCTGGACCAAGGGTCTCCGTGCTCTGCCACGGGGCGAATACATCTTGAGCCAAAACGGCTACGGAGGAGGAGGAAGCAGAGGAGGAGGAGGAGGAGCAGCTGATCCGCTGATAATGCTAGCGCTGTTCTGGACGCTGCCATAATCATCCAGCAAACAACCCCCTAAACGAACTCTGACCACTGGCACCCGCGGACGGTTGTCCACGGGTCAGTCCCAGTCAACTACATCGTTCGGGCCAGAACGTGCGAGAAAGGCATGCGGAGACAGCAGGTACGGTCACCGCGTGTGGACGCAAGCGGGGGGACGCAGCCGAGCTCACCGCTATCAGCCAAGACGCTCGGGCAACAAGCGTGCGAGACCGGCACGCAGTGGCAGCTGGAAAGGAGGCATTTGGCAGCACGTAGCTGCGAGAAGGCGGGCAGTGGCCGTTAGGGGAGGGGGTGGGGCGCCCACCACAATCAGATACAGTCAGGTCGCATAATAAGGATTGACGGAAAGAGCGTAAGAGTCTTGGAGGGCCATGTTGGCGTTTTCGAACGGGGTTGGCCAGCAGAAGTCGCCAAGGATGGGCCGAAGGGGCCAGGATGCAAGGGTATCCTCGGAAAGTGGCGCATTCTTACTATGCGGCCTGGCAGGGCACCGCTCGGGCCACGGCGTATCAACAAGGCAGACAGTGGCAGCGGGCAGAGGCCTACGCGTGCGGCACAGCAGGCAGGTGGCAGCAGGTGTGCGCAGGCGACAGAGCAGTGGCTGCAAGTGGACGCAGGGGCGCAGGCAGCCCCGACGTTCTACCGGCTGCAAGGATCTCGTGCCACCATGCACGCGGAAGGCGGGCAGTGGCAGCAGTCAGAGGCTCCCGCGTGCGAGACTGCAGGTAGTGGCAGCATGTGAGCGAGAAGGTTGCTGCATGCAAAGAAGCCAACCTCAACTGCCATGCGGTGCAGAGCGTCGCCACGCAGACCGAGTGCAACCCACGAGCCGACCAGCGTGGCAGCCTGTGAGCGGGAAGGTGGGACCAACACCAGCAGCTGTAAGCGCCGGAGTCAGGTGTCGCTGGGTTCGAAGGGGGGCAGAGGGCACACGCTCTGCTGTTTTTGGCCTCCCAGAGGCCGTGCCTTCACCCTCAACACGCCGCCAGGATAGGCCTGGGAGAGCTGGGGGGGCGTCTCTTGAACAAGGTCGTCTCGCCACTCACGCGGCGGCCCCGAGACCGCTGGATCCCGCTTGAGTCCCCATCACTCCTGCCCCCTCCCACTCCTCCCTCTCGGAGCTCGGAGCTGCGGACTGTTCTGGCTCCCCCTCTTCCTCCTCCTCACGCACTTGGGAGGGGGCCGGGGGGAAGCGGGGCAGCTCCCGACACCGAGCGAGCTGCCCTACAGAGACCCCAGAAAACCTGTCCCCCCATCCCCACCCCCACCCCCTCTGCCCCTCCTGCTCAGGCCGCCCCCTCATCGGCTGCACCTCCCCCTCCTCCTGCGGCCCACCCCCGATCCGACCTCAGACTCGGCGGCGCCTCTTGGCGCCAGGGGGGGCGGCCTACTGAGAAGGCGGAGGGGCTTCTTGTCGGGTGTTGCCAGAAGCGCCCCTGGCCCAAAGTGGCCCCGGGATTTCGAAAGAGGCCCCCACGGCCTCCAGACCACCCCTCACGAGGCCCAGTGGGCCCCAGGGACTCCAAAAGTAAGCAGAAAGCCGGGGGCACCCTGGGCCAGGGGCACCCTCAACAGCCTCCGATCTTAGAAGGCAGGGGCCTTCTCAGCGGGCCCCGCAAGCTTGTATGAGAAGGCCTCTTGGAAGCCGGGCGGACCTCCAGGAAGCCCGCCCTTGCCTTCTCTTAGAAGCCCCACCCCGCCATCTCCGAGGAAGGCCACCGCCCTCGCGCCCACCCACCCATGGGGCGCCGCCAGCAGGCCAGAAGAGCCAAGGATCGAATCGATGAGTCGGATTGGCGATCGAAACGAATCGGATCGGCGGAAATCGGCAGCCAAGTCGGGAGGAGTCGGATTGGCGAAAATCGGCAGGCCAGTAAGGCCCCCCTCGCGAAATCGGAGGCCAAATCGGAGCCCGAAGTCGAATCGAATCGGAATCGGAATCCATCAAAATGCAAACGAATCGGAGGAGTCGACATCAGCACCGAAACCAGCCCCGCCCCCGCGGTCTCCAGCTCGGGCTCCCGCTCCGTCGGGCGCTCCCAGACCTCCCGCGTGGACAGGGAGGCGAGCTTCCACTCGCCTCCCGGCGTCTGGAGGAAGATGCCGGCCTCGGACGAGTTTCCCGGGCCCCCGTCGACCACCCGCACCTCGAAGAGCGGCGCCGAGCCGAGCTCCGCGCCGCTGCACACCTGAGCGAGGAAACAAAAACGGGTCTTACGCGAGATGGCGTGGCGACCCTACGCGGCGGCTTACGCGGGCGCTGGCGCGGCACGCCACATTGGAAACGAGGGCGCTTGCGCGCGACCTTAAGCGGGCAATTTACGCGCCAATGTTGGTGAGGACGACCCTGTTTGTTTGCGTCGCTCACCTGCACGACCAAGTCCTGCCTCGCACAGGACACTGTGCTCCGCATCGCGCAGTGCAGCTGTGACCCGCTGGGCACCATCAGCTGCGGGCAGAGCCACGCGGCTGGAGTGGGCCTGCTCGGCCCAACAGGCACCGTGCCGTACATACTGCTCCGGGTGCCCGACGAAACACGGCTGGTCGTGTTGCTGATGACGTCGGAGCTGGGCACACCAGAAACATACCGCCTGTGCTTGGCCTTCTTCGCCTCGCCCTTCTTGAGCTGAATATCCTCCCTGTCGCTCGAATAGGAGGACCGAACAACACACCAGCAGAGCACCAGGAGGAGCGTGGAGAACGATGCGATCACCAGCGCAAACCTCCACGCGCCAGGGGCATCTGGCGCATGCTGCATTCTGCCAGCGTGGGCAGAGTGCCCCTCAGCAGAGTGGGCAGCCGACCCCGTGGCGTGGTATGTAATCAGGCCCTGGCCCACCGCAAGAGCTTTTGCTTTGCGCGGACATGCGGAGATAATATGTACGGACCACAGAAAAAGGTGAGTGGAAATATGTTGGATCATGTCATGGATGCCTTGATCCTGGCAAGGCTCTCCAAATGAAGAGAGAGAGAGAGAGAGAGAGAGAAAGAAAGACAACGAGAGGGATAATGAGGGTGCTCTCCAGACTGTGACTTCCGAGCCGCCTCTGCCTGATCAGCTTTCTGGTTTAGACCATGAAGATTCATCCGCACCACGTTCTTCGAAAACCTCGGGTCTGACCCATTGCGATTTCCCCGACACCATTCCGACCCGAACGTTGCACAAAACCTGACCGCTGCAGCGAAACGCCCCGATAGCGACAGAGCGAGGGGGCCAAACGGTCTGATGCTGTCCTTGCGGGCGTGGATGAGAGAAACTTCCGCGGTGCACATTGCCGTGACACGCTCCGAAGCCCGGCCGCCTGCTACTGAAACGGACCCTCCCGCCCGCGACACGCCGCCTTTGTGTCAATACAGAAACGGCCCGCAGACGACCCGCCGGCGCCCCGCAAGCAATCCTGCCACCATCCACCCCTCGCGACCCGCCCCCGCGTGCCAGCGACCCGCCCCGGCGACCGGACACTCGCTCACTGACCCACGCCCGTGACCTGTCGCCTGCGCCCCGCCCTCGAGGTCCGCGCCCGAAAGCTGCCCCCGAGACCCGCCTCCGCGACCCGTCCCTGCGACCCGACGCGCGGCCCGCACGCAAAACTCGCGCTTGCGATCCGCGCACGCGACCGGTGCCTTTGATTTGGGCCCGCGACACGTTCGCGACCAGCCTGCGCACGCTCGCCACCCTCCGCGACTTGCCCGCAACTTTTTGACCATAACTCTTAACGACAAGCAGCACACGACCCTTATCTTTTCATTCTAACACTCCCTTGAACATCGCGGCGACCTGCATTCTATCCGCCTGCGACCCACCAATCAGCAACCTGCCTGGCACAAGTCATACGCAGATAACTCGTCGGCAACGAGCTCAAATTAGGAATGGAATCGTGGATTCTACATGCACCATGCGCCCCGCATTGGACCCACATGCGACCGCTGTACATCATGTAAACAAGCTGGAAAACTCCTTCACGATCACTCCACATTCTTTAATCGGAAGAAAGCCGAAGTGCCAACGGCCCAACGCGTGAGGTGGAGAGGGGTTGGGGTCGATGGGGGCAAGCCAACCCAGCCAGCCATAGTTGGCCGGCACTCTCACGTGACGCACCACCTGTTCCCTCGGCGGTGTTCTGGGGAGGTGGAGGGCAGACTACACGCACACAGTCACGTAACATCAATAAGTCGAAATGCAAGTGTACCTGGAGAGACTCACACAACATCAAAAACGCGAATGGCAAGTGCACCTGGAAAGACTCGCCCCGTCCATTTCCCCCCATACCAATCAGGATTGCATGGCTGGGGCAACTCCTTCACGATCTCTCCGCATTCCTTAATCGGAAGAAAGCTGAAGTGCCAACGGCCCAACGCGCGAGGTGGAGAGGGGTCGGGGTCGATGGGCGCAAGCCAACCCAGCCAGCCACGGTCGGCCGGTGCTCTCACGCGACGCACCACCTGTTCCCATCGTGGCGATCGCGGAGAAGCACCCATTGCAGGCGATCCCCAACCCAGAACCCAAATTCCTACGGGATGACATGACGATGGCGGAGGACAACGAGAGAGAAGAGGGATGACATGAGGCATAGTTACTCCTGCCCTCACTCCGAATCGGAATGATCAACCACTAAGCGCGAAATCGCTGCCTCTTCTAACTGGCTCGTGCGCAAGTATCGCACGAAAGCTGCGCTCCGCCAGTCACCCGCCTGAAGGGGCACGGACAAGCTTCCCCCGGCGTCCAGATTATCTCTCGCCATCCCCCTCCGGAGGCAATGGGTGCCCAATGAACCGCCGTCTGGGATGCCCGCTGCAGTGGCGTTCCTTCGGAAGTCATTCGTGGACATTGAAATTCTCTTTTCCGTCGCAGCCACAGCCAGCGCCTTCTTCATCCAGTGGTAGGCGCACAGCAAGCGCCCCGAAGAAGCGCAGCAGCACAGTCGACGGAGCGTGGTGGGCGCACGAAGGTGTTTGCGCCTGTTTAACACAACCGCCAATTCCCCGGCAGCGCAGGAGACCGCAGAGTGCTCACCGCGGATCTGGAGAGGGACGCCCTCTGACGGCACCCGCAGCAAGAGCAGGCGACTCACAGCGATCAGCGCGGCCTGCTCGATATCTCCCTTTTCCTCGGCTGCGCGGATAAGCATCCTCGCGCAGGGCGCCTGCGCAGCCTAGCGTGGCTGGGGGGCTGGGGCAGCCTTCCGCACCCCGCGCCGGACGTGCTGCAGCGCGCCGGTGTCCCAGTCATTTGACAAGCGAAGAAAACGGCGCGCTCACCTGACATGTTTCAAGTAAGTGCAGAACGTGTCACCACTAGCAAACATGCTTGCGAACACACAACACTGCTTCTTCCGAGGCGGGGAAGTGGGGCCGAATACAGGCAACATCGCAATGTGCCGCCCAGCACCTGATTCCGCTCTTGTACGTAGGAATGGATTCTTTGACTGCCTTTACCATGAATATCTGCGCCTGTTCGGCCAAGATGCCCGGTGCTTTCGGAGATGCTGCGATCAGAACATGAATCCTCTTACGGGGGCCCCCTGCCGTAGCCAGGCCCCCCAAGCCAGTCTCTGGCATGCGGCTCGCAAACGTCGCCCGATTGAGGGTGGCTGCGATCTGGTCCTCTCTCAAGAAATCTTCCAAGCAGCGGGCCGCCGCCCAGCCCGTATGTTCAGTGTCTGGAAGACAGAGTATCCTCCAGAGCCACCTATCGCAAGCATGCCCCCCTTGGAACTGCTGATCCTCACGGGGCGCACTGGTGGACAACAAGGCTTGCCGAGTGGCCTCCGGCGGCTCCGCAGGCCTCCCAGATGCTGAAGATGCACCTGGGCCTTGCACTCCAACATCGGTGTGCTCCAGCGTGACCGGACTGAAAGATCCAGGAGCGCAAGCTCTTCTGGTCGCATTCGCGGCATCAGCGGCGTCTGCCCGAGGCTGGTGCCTACTGAGTGTGACCGGCGTGAACGGCTTCATTGCTGCGTGAAGAATTCGGGCCAAGCGCTGCTGCGGGCGGCACGCATGCCAACGCTAGATCACGACCTGCTCAACCCCCAGAAAGGGGGCCCGTTGCGCGATGTTGCGCGCCATGTGCCCTGGCGCTCGGCACGGCCGGCGCCGTGCGCTCGTCATGCACCCGGCGCCGTGCGGCACCACTGCAACACCAAACGTGTTGTGAAACGACTCGTGCCGCCGTGCCGCTCCCAAACTGCCAACTTCGTGGGGCAATCCAGCTTGCCCTTGCGTTGCAGTGCCCATAGGGATGAACGAACATGAACGCACTGATAAACGATGATGACGAAGATGATTAAAGGAGATGAAGGATGTCAGGGAGAACACTCGGCGCGTGGCTCGTGCCCCCAGCCTTTGAACTTGCGTGCCCCTCCAGACTCCGCGACGACAAGATGGCTCGCTGGCGCGAGCCACGACGCGCGCCTGACCGCCGATAGCAATGATAAGAGGAGGCGGGAAGGACCGATTGCGAGGGGCGCGAATGATGACAAGCACACATCAATAACCACCGGGTTCGTGCCAAGACCCTGCACGTGGAATTGATCCTAGGGGAACGAACCCATTTTGTATCAGGCGCCTCGCGGCCCCTGGGCGCATGCCACCCCGACTCGTGCCGAAGAAATATCACGATGCCGCATGGCAAAATTGAAGGCGTCTCGTGGGCGCCCAACGCATGCCAACGCCGACTCGTGCAAGGTGCGCATGTCCACGTCAACTGAATTGCGATTGTCTTTCGGGCGCACTGTCGAATGGGTCCAAACACCGCGCAAAACAAAAGTGCATGGCCGTAGGGGGGGGAGAACGGGGAGGAGAAAAGGGGGAAGGAAGACAATGAGGAGGAAAGAGGAGAGAGAGGAACGGACGAGAAGGAGGAGGGGTGCATCAATCGAAATGCCCCCTTGTCGTTTTAACTGTTGCTGCGGCTCTTGCCGGGGCCAAGCCAATGGGCGGCTCGCGCCGCTTTTGCGTTTATTCTACAACCCGCCTCGCGGCGGCGCACCAGTGACAAGTCTTGCGTGCGAAAGCGGCTCGCGATGGCAGCCATGGCTGGTCTAACCTATTGGCCGCTCCGACCTCTTCGGGAAGCACGCGCTCGCAACATGCCGCGGCTCGTGCCGCGCCGCAACCACAGGCAGACCCGCCTCGAGGCGGACAGGCCAGGCCCGCGCCCGACTCGAGCCGGGGCGGGCGGACGTTCGAGGTCCACAAACCCTCGCAGCCCACGACAAAGACGCGTTTTTGCGAACCGCACCACTAAAGGACGACACCCGAGCTAGTGCCTGGCACACCGCCGCTGCTGCGGCACAGGTGTAGGTGGCACACCACCAGAGTAACAGGCTCTCGCGACCGGAACGCGCCCTCGTGGGCCACTGCGCCAACCAGAAGGACAATACCTCAGCATGTGCGACGACAGCGAGTTTCATGCTGGCAGCACTGCGGGGGAAATGACCCCGCTCACGCCAGGTAGACAGCCGCTGTTGCGGCCCCGCCGGGGGCGGCGCCCCACCCGGATCAACGTGCACATGGGCGCAAAACGGGCTCTCGTGAGCCATTCCGACATCGAACCAAACCTTCATAGGTGCGATGACAATGATGGCGGCGCACGCCGTGCATGAACTGCAAGCGCCGCGGGGGCCAATGCTCTCCGGCGCGCGACGGGCGGGGCGCGCCCCGCACCAGCGACCAGCGCCGCGCAACAGAGAATGGATACTACCAAACCTCGGCCCTCCTGAACCACAGAAGCAACCACGCAGCTCTCGTGGGCCACTACGACAGCAGTGCGAGCACCAGGCTCTGCAGGAACGACGACAACGTTGATGGCAAGCAACTGCCATGATCGACAGCTGTGTTCCCGTCCCTTTGTCTGGCTCTGGCCTCACAACACTAGCCTGTGCAACTCCGCGCTCTTCAACCACCCGCCAAGATCACCTCTGAACTGTGGCCACTCGAATGTCAGCGCCTCCTGAGCGCCACTGCGCAGCAGGGAAGACACTTCATCCCTCGAGGGGCCGTCAGCCAAATTTATCTTCGACGGCGCGTATTCAGCGCGATGCAACACAGAGCGCTCTGCTAGTTCGAACCACAGCCGGCCCGCGATCAGGGCGAGGTCCTGCTTCTTGGAGTACCCCCGCACTACGCGCGACAGGGCCGCTGGATTGTCGACGGGGCGCGCAATCCAGCAATTGGTCAAATCCTACGGAGACAACTACGCGAGGCCCACTAACGCCGCCAGCAGCTCATAGCCAACAATGTTTGTCTCGCGCGAAGAAAAACAGTTTACGGGCGCGCCTGGGGAGCCTGCCCCTCAAGAGCGCGATGCGGGAGTCGTGCGTTTGAGCTACTGCCTCACCTGGCCTGTGCGTTCCGCGCTTGCGTGCAGAATCACGATCGGCAGATGAACTAGCCGGAACAGAGGAATCGCGCGATGTAGGCCGCTCTCGACGACGCGCGAAAACCAAGCCAGGGAAAACTTGATGCGGGGCGTCAGCGCATGCGATCCCGCTTTCTGCTGTTGTCTCCTGCTCAACGGGCGGAGCAGGGCACGGCCGACCTTGTTGAAGACGTGGGAACTCAGATACTGCAATCTGCCGCACAACTTCGCCGCGAAACCTGGGGCGAGCACCCCGGAGACTAAGACTTGCCGGATATCACGCGACCGCTTCTCTGACTTCTGCCTGTCACGTGTCCAAAGGGTCTCGCTTTCGCTGTTGCTAATGTGTAAAACGAGGGGCACTACGGATGACCCGGAATCGCATTTAGCGGGGTCGAGGCGCCAGCCGAGCAGCTCCTCGACCACCTGCTGGAAGACGTTGTGCGCCTACTGCGCCACGGGGCCAACGCCAGGGATATGGGCCCCTGGGCACACCCAGAAAGCATCGTCTACGTACACGAACACAACCAGCATGAACAACCGCAACATGATGCACTGGATAGCTCTTGCTGTCCGGTACCAACCGGTGACGCCACCGAGATTGCCGAAGACGCGGGACCACAGCGGCACTGCGAACCACGCTTCCAGAGACGGGCTGTGCACCAACGCCCAGCACAGCCACTCGTGCGAGCTGTCGGGCGGCAGCGTCTTGAAGGCAGACTTGAAGTCTGCCTTGCCCACGTGCGGAGCACAACCGCCGCCCCCGTTTTCTGATGCAACCCGGAGAGCTGCCACGAAATGGTGGAAGTCATAATATTTTTAGCTTCTGGGGCATGAAGGCGTACTCGTTGACCCCGTTATTACGGGAGTTGCGGATAGTCCTAGCCTTCGGCGCTGTCGCGCCCCCGCGTTGCTCCCAGATCCCAAAGCTGTCAACCAAGAGTATCTCGTCGAGAGTCACCTGCTCAACGGGGGCCCGCAGGCCGGCCCTGCCCCCAGCTACGTCCTTGAGCGTCTGGTCCCAGATCTCAGATGCCAAGGCAGCGTCGGATTCTTCGGAAACCCTGCGCCTCTGGGCCGCCCGCGGCGTCTCTGACTTCAGGCGGCGGCACTCTTGCTTCAGCTCACTCAGGCGGGGGGCCTCCGAGACCACGCGGGCCCCTACTTCGGAGCCCGCCCGGCACGTCAACGCCGGCGCCGCAGACGTGCAATTTTTCTGTGAGGGGAAGCCCCGTAGCAGATCTTGCGCGTCAGACCCGTCACTGCGCCCAGCTTCCCGCACCATCTTATTCAACATGAAAGGATCAAGCTTGCCCAACACTTGTCGTTTTCCCGGGGGGCTCTTTTTCTTTCTCTCTCTCTTTTTTTTTTTCTCTCTCTCTCTCTCTCTCTCTCTCTCTCTCTCTCTCTCTTTCTCTCTCTCTCTCTCTCTCTCTCTCTCTCTCTCTCTCTCTCTAAGCAAGCAAGCACATCCTGTGCGTGGGATGCTTTTTCTGCTCTCCAGTGCTGCAGAGCGAACTCTGTCCTTCGATGCAAAAGCAGCGGGTGCTCGGTTAATTCAGGCTGATTCAGAAGCTGCTCTGGCGCAAGGTGATTGCACGGGCCCCACGCAAAAAATCCTGCTCCCCGAACTGCGCCCAAGAAACCTCTAAATGCGACCATGCCTCCCTCACGCTCGGCTGCGCTGGCTGCAACCCGACCGTGTCCGAATCAGCCGACTCGCTGTCAAACGATTGCTCATCGCTCTCATTCGCGGCCAACCAATCCATCTCGGTCGGATCTCACCAATTGCGTTTGCCGCCTCCCTTGGCCCCCTTGCGGGCGGGCGCCGGCGGGGGCGGCGGCTTCGCCGCCTGGGGCTGGCGGAAGGCTGGCTGCCCCTTGTAGCCGCCCTTGCCGCCGCCCGGAGCGCCCTGCTGCTGGCGGGCCGCCGCGGCCGCGTTAGCCGCTTTCTGCGCGCGCGCCCGGCGGTTCTCGCCCACGGACATGAGCATGGCCTGCGGCTGACACGTCTCGTTCCTGCGAAGCGTGCGCTCCGCAATGTCGTCCCGCAACGTGGTGTCGCAGTCGTTGGCGACCCTGGCCGTGTCCTCCACCGCCATGCGGCTGGCGTTAAAGAGCGCCGACAACAGCGACTGGACCGTGAGCGCTTCGCGGCCCGAGTGCGCCTGCACTGTCAGCTGGGCCAAGGCGCGAGACCACCAGAGCGCAGTCCACTGCGCGTGGGTGATGTCGCCTGGACGGGGTTTGTGCTTGTCCCCCATCCGCTGCGGACACCACTTCGGCATCGCCCCGCCTACGACGAAGACGCGGCAGCGCCTGGCTGCTTTGCGCGCCTTGGCCGCCAGAGCCCGGAGGACGCTGTGCGGCCGTGCTTCACGTCTGGGAGGCCGTATGCCTTGAAGCACGCAGCCGCATCGAACTCCTTGTTGTCTGAGCTCGTGCTGCTGCTGGAAGGGTCGCGCCCCCCTCTCTTCTGTCCCCTGTTGACGGCCTTCCCCACGTGCTTCGCAAGAGAGGGCAACTTCGCTGCCGCAGCCCGGGCTGCCGACTGCTGCGCGTGCAGGCACAACGTGAGTTCCGCAACCTTTGTCGCGGGCGGGAACACGTGCTGGAGGAGCTCTGACGGAGCGACCTCGAGTTGCCAGTCGGTGCTGAGGCTCGTGCCCCGGAGCCCCTCCGCAACCTGGAGCTGCAGCGCCTCTGTGCCCGGCGGGCAGTGCAAAGCCAAAAACCCCCGCAAAGCCTTGGAAGACTGTGCCGGGTAGCGCCCAGCCGCTGCCTCCGCTGCTGCGGCGCGCCCGGGGCCGCTGGGAGACCAGGGCCAGACTGGGGACCGCGTCGGAGACCTCCCCCGGGACTGGCGACGCGAACGCTTCCTGGAACGCTCACCGGAAGGCCGCCTCCGCCGCGAACGCCCCGAATCGGATCGGCGGCGCCGGCGTCGCCGGGATCCCCCTGAACTGCTAGTCGTAGCGCTCCTGAGCCTGAAGCATACGGAGCCGCGCGCTCTCAGCAGAATGCGCCATGAACACAAACGCGCGCATGAAACAAGCGTAACCTGCTGCACGTGCGTGTCACAAAACAAATAAGTTGAAACAGAGGTGCGACGAGGAGCATGACTGACGCTACAGGATCACTCTGCAGGACGACCGATGCAACCTCTCGCCGCGAGCAGGGCAAACAGGCCTCGAGCAGAATTCCTTCATCCGCGCACCAGTTTTGTATTACTCGGCACCGGCTATCTCTCGTCGCCAGCTGGGCTGACAGGGCTCACTGTCAAACTCCTCCACAACCCACAACCCAGGCACAAACGAAACAGCGGCTGTAGCAGCGGCGGCAGAGGCCGAACCGACGAACGAAGCTCGAACATATTTATAAAACGCATAAACGTTCAGATGTCTGACACAAGAAAGGAAACAGATAGAAGTGCCACGCGTGTGAGGAGCATAGTGTACGCGCGCACACACACACACACTCGCACACTCCAAGTTGCATCACATGTATCAAGAGTCACCGCAACTTGTGTAGCATTATTGCCGCTGGTGTGGCAATCCTGTCTCGTTAGTTCCTGAGTGAGCCATCTCTTGATGCTCTGCGCCACATCTCTTGATGCTCTGCGCAACAAACTACACGCAGTCAATCACGTAACATCAACAAGTCGAAGCTCTCACCTTCGCGGGGTCCCCATTTCGAATCCGAATACGCCGCGCAGCGCGCCGACCTATATTCACGCGCGGTGCCCCCACTCTTGTATCCTCCGAATAAAGAGGCCCAACGAGGAGGTGTTCGGGCACAGGATAAGTGCGAGCGCCTTCCCCTTCTCCTGGCCCGCTCCTGTCTCCAGACTGTGCCCATATAGCACTCTTGTGTGGTCAGCCAGGGGGACCACTGGCAACTTTCTTGCCCGATCCTACATCCATTATGTTTTTGGCGCTGTCCTCAATTCAAAGCGAGGGGCCCCTCAAACACGTTGCACGATCGCCCTCTCCATAGGAACTCCCCCAAGGTGCCTCCACAACTCTGGGAGTTATGTTTGCCACTTCGACGCCAACATGCGATCATAGTAGCATGTCCAAATCCTATCGTTAAGCCGGATTATGCCGGATCAAGGTGGATTAAACGGGATTAAGCCAGATTTCGGACCAAGGCAAAATCAGAATTTGACCCCCCAGGAGTTGCATCCGAACATACGGGCCCTCAATTCTGGAGCGGAGGCGCACAAGCCGAGAGTCGGACGTCAGAAAGCTTTCACTGCGCGGCTCAACACACATAGGAAGGCGAGAGGAGGCAGGAGGAATGAGGAGGGATAGAGGAAGAGAGTGGAAGCAGGAGAGGGGGGAGCAGGAGGATGGGAGGAGGAATCAGGGAGGAGAGGGAGACCAGGGAGAAGAGCGAAGAAACGACGAGGGTCGGCCAATCGATCTACCAGAGCGATTTTGACTTACGAAATCGGGCCCCCTCACCGTCGTTTTCCATGTCTTCCTGCTCCGCCTCCTCCGCACCATAACCACCACCATCATCACCACCACCACCATCATCATTGCCAGCATCATCATCACCATCAACAGCATCACCACCATGGCAAGAATCATCATCACAATCACCATCATCATCATCAGCAGCAGCAGCAGCATCATCACAATTCTCACCACCATCACCACCATCAACAACATCATCATCGTCATCATCACCACCATCATCATCATCAACATCCCCTCCTTTTCATCGCCACGGTCTGCTGCTCCATCTAAGAACTGCTCTTGGGAATGAGAAGAGGCCCGCCGTACTGAGGGGGACTCTGCACCACCTTCGGTCGTTTGAATGCGAGCCAAGCCGCACCCACACCCACCACATTACATTATACATGTTCAAAGCTTGTCTCTAGAGCCCGTGGCGCGAAGGCCGTCGTCCGCTGCATGTTCCCCAAAAGAGGCTTCTGGCAGCTTGCGAAAATTGCAACCGCCGAAGGCCAAGGAAAACATATTATAAACGTAACATAAAAATCTAACAACCACCCGCAGCTTGAGAAGAACAGCCGCGCACGAAACTGCCTGGGACATTGCTGAAGTCGCGCTGATTATTTTTTTTCGGTGGCGCTCCCTATGGGGCCACGAAAGGCTGTACTGGGTGGGTGAAACGCAGGGAGCAAAGGCCGTGTTGGGTGGTGGCGGACGCATGCGGGCGGTGCCACTGGGACCTTCGGTGGAGTTCCCGATGGGGCCACGCAGCGCTGTACTGGGTGGGTGAAACGCAAGGAGCAAGGCAATACTGGGTGGGTGAAACGCATGGAGCAAAGACTGTGCTGGGTGGTGGCGTACGCATGCGGGCGGTGCCACTGGGACCTTCGGTGGCGCCCCCCTATGGGGCCACGAAGCGCTGTTCTGGGTAGGTGAAACGCAGGGAGCAAAGAGCTGTGCTGGGTGGTGGCGTACGCATGCGGGCAGTGCCACTGGGACCGTCGGTGGGCCCCCCCTCTGTGGGGCCACGAAGCCTTGTTCTGGGCAGGTGGAACGCAGGGGGCAAAGAGCTGTGCTGGGTGATGGTGGACGCATGCGGGCGGTGCCACTGGAACCTTCGGTTCACGAAACGCTGTGCTGGGTGATGAAACGCAGGGAGCAATGGCTGTACTGGGTGGTGGCGGACGCATGCGGGCGGTGCCACTGGGACCTTCGGTGGAGCCCCCTTATGTGATCACGAAGCGCTGCGCTGGGCGAGTGAAGCGCAGGGGGCAAGGGCTGTGCTGGGTGGTGGCGGACGCATGCGGGCGATGCCGATGGAACCTTCGGTGGGGGCCCTTATGGGGCCACGAAGCGCTGTACGGGGTGGGCGCAACGCACAGAGCAAGGAATGTGCTGGGTGGTGGCGGACGCATGCGGGCGGTGCCACTGGGACATTCGGTGGAGCCCTCTTATGGGGCCACGCAGCGCTGTACTGGGTGGGCGAAACAAAGGGAGCAGGGGCTGTGCTGGGCGGTGGCGGACGCATGCGGGCGGTGCCACATGGGACCTTCGGTGGAGCCCCCCTATGGGACCACGAAGCGCTGCACTGGGTGGGTGAAACGCAGGGAGCAAGGGCTGCGCTGGGTGGTGGCGTGCGCATGCGGGCGGTGCCACTGGGACCTTCGGCGGAGCCCCCCTATGGGACCACGCAACGTGTACTGAACGGGTGGAACGCAGGGAGCAAGGGCAGTGCTGGGTGGTGGCGTACGCATGCGGGCGGTGCCACTGGGACCTTCGGTGGAGCCCCCCATATGGGGCCACGAAGCGCTGTGCTGGGTGGGTGAAGTGCAAGGAGCAAGGGCTGTGCTGGGTGTTGGCGGACGCATGCGGGCGGTGCCACTGGGACCTTCGGTGGGGTCCCTTTTTATGGGGCGACGAGGCGCTGTACTGGGTGGGCGAAACGCAGGGAGCAAGGGCTGTGCTGTGTGGTTGCGGACGCATGCGGGCGGTCCCACGGGGGGCTTCGGTGGAGCTCCGTACGCGGCCACGAAACGTTGTGCTGGGTGGGTGTAACGCATGGAAGGAGGAGGAGGGGGGGAAGGAGGGGGAGGAGGGGGAGGAAGAGGAGAGGAGAAGAGGAACGCGGGGACCGTCTCCTCAAAACGAGGACCCAACACCACAGAATGGTTGGGACAAAGACAACAGAATTGTGGGATTTCCATTTCCAGCTCCTCGGCGCTGTTCGGCGCTGTTTTTCCCAACCATCCTGTGGTGTTGGGTCATCGTTTTGAAGAGACGGTCCCCGCGTCCCTCTCATCTTCTCCTCCAGTTCCCTCCTCCCTCCTCCCTGCGCTTCACCGACCCAGTATAGCGCTTCGTGGCCCAATAAGGGGGCTCCACCGAAGGTCCCAGTGGCACCGCATGCGTCCGCCACCACCCAGCACAGCCCTTGCCCCCTGCGCTTCGCCCACCCCGTACAGCGTTCCGTGGCCCCATATGGGGGGCTCCACCGAAGGTCCCAGTGGCACCGCCCGCATGCGTCCGCCACCACCCAGCACAGCCCTTGCTCCCAGCGTTTCACCCACCCAGTACAGCGCTTCGTGTCCCATAGGGGGCTCCACCGAAGGTCCCAGTGGCACCGCCCGCATGCGTCCGCCACCACCCAGCACAGCCCTTGCTCCTTGCGCTTCGCCCACCCAGTACAGCGTTTCGTGGCCCCATAAGGAGCTCCACCGAATTCCCCAGTGGCACCGCCCGCATGCGTGTGCCACCACCCAGCACAGCCATTGCTCCATGCGTTTCACCTACCCCGTACAGCGCTTCGTGGCCGCATAAGGAGCTCCACCGAAAGTCCCACTGGCACCGCCCGCATGCGTTCGCCACCACCCAGCACAGCCCTTGCTCCTTGCGTTTCACCGTTTCACCCACCCAATACAGCGCTTCGTGGTCCCATAGGGGGCTCCACCGAAGGTCCCAGTGGCACCGCCCGCATGCGTCCGCCACCACCCAGCACAGCCCTTGCTCCCAGCGTTTCACCCACACAGTACAGCGCTTCGTGGCGTGGCCCCATAAGGGGCTCCACCGCAGGTCCCAGTGGCACCGCCCGCATGCGTCCGCCACCACCCAGCACAGCCCTTGCTCCCAGCGTTTCACCCACCCAGTACAGCGCTTCGTGGCCCCATGGGGAGCTCCACCGAGAGTCCCACTGGCACCGCCCGCATGCGTCCGCCACCACCCAACACGGCCTTTGCTCCCTGCGTTTCACCCACCCAGTACAGCGTTTCGTGGCCCCATAGGGAGCGCCACCGAAGAAGGGATTCCCAATTGCGGTATTCACAACTGCATCTGATTGTGTCTTTCACCAGGCTAATTTGTTTGTGCCTCGCTGGTTTTATTAGCTGGGCCCCTCAGGGGTGTGGGATCTTCCGGACCCCCTGGGGTTCTGAAGGCCTCCTGGAGGCCGGGAGAGCCATCGGAGGGGTGTCCCAGGCTGCGCGGGAGCGTGTTGGGCCGTTCTTTACGTTTTGGGGGCTCCTTGGGGTCGTCA